TTTTACTGCCGGATGTAATAACAGGTTTAGTCAAACTCTCTCCATTAGTCACTGAAAAATATGCTTGACGGATGGAGGAAAGAACAAGTTCCTTCCAAAAGCCTTTCAGCGGAAAGCGTAAACAAGCAAGATATAATTATTAATGGGTGATATTGATTGATTGATTTATACACGAAAAATTTTATAAATGAATTTTCTTTGAAATTTGTTGAGCATTTGCCTTCAGTTTAATTGTACTGTGTTTTCGATTATAAGTTCAGATACGTTTTTCTGGGAGGGTGTACGTGCGCACGTGGCTGTCCATTTTATTGTATGTGATTACCCGAGTGGAGGAGGGTGAAGGCGAGAGCCCCCAGCAGGCAGGTCTTCACCAGGACGCCAGTCATGTCTATATGCAGCAGAAGAGACTGGTGTAGGAGGAAGATGTTCGCTCTCTTTTATACACACTTGATGGTCACACCAGTCACCTGGCCCACCTCCCTGACGTCAGATACACGTCAGTCAATCTTCTGTGTGTCTTGCAGGTGACAAATAAAAAAAAACTGTTTGGTCCAAGTGATAAGTTTCTCAGCGTTTGTACAACCTTGACATCTGAACCGTCTATTCTTAAATAGGCAAAATTAATAGTTGCTTAAGTGTATCAATAACATGACTGTGATTCATGGTTATCCTACATATTATTTACGATGATTTTGGTCTAATGAACAAACAGTCACTCTGAGATTTTGATACAAATTCCCATGTACACCGGCGAGACTCGAGCAGCTGGACCTCTTCTCATGCTCGCACCCAGTAACTACTAAGACAATCTCATCCATTTTTCGAACTCCAGGGTATCTTTCGGTCTGTGTCTAATCTATTTACTATTTCAGATAAGTGTGTGTCTGTGTGTGTGTGTAATAATAATAATAATAATAATAATAATAATAATAGTAATAATAATAATAATAATAATAATAATAATAATAATAATAATAATAATAATAATAATAATAAACGGTTTATTAATAGAGTTGCAGCTGGTGGCTGAATATATACAAACTTACATGTGATTTTGACATAATAATATACATTCAATACATTTACAGGGCTGTACAGTACATAAATCAGGAGCTGTTTATTATTTGAACAATAGATGGGATGGTGCTATTCTTATATCTATCGGTGCGGGCTATTATGGGCTGAATTTTGTTGTAGTGGCGGACTGCGCGAGGTGGGCGGGGGGCTGCAGGTGGCAGGAGGTGGCGATGACGACGATGGTGCAGTAGTCCACTGCCAAACACTGCTAGTGCGTGGTGGTGGAGGTCTCTGAGAGATGGCATTTCCAGGGTGGGGAGAGCGTTGTTGTAGCCGGAGTAGTCTGTGCCGAGCATGATTCTGCAGGCCCTTTTCTGTACCTTCTCTAGCTGACGTTGTTGGGTAGAGTTGAGAGAAGACGACCTGGCTGGTGACGCATACGTTAATTTGGGGAGTATAAATGCGTTGTAGATGGTCCTCAGCTCTGGCGTGGGTGCCCCAACTGACCTGAGTCGTCGTAGAAAAGTCGGTACGAGGCTGCCTTGATAGTGTTGTTTACATGGGCCTTCCAGTCCAGTTTGTGGTCTATAGTTACACCCAGGAGTTTGTCAGATTGCACTAACTGGAGAGGATGGGCACCCACTGTAACTGCTGGAGCTTGCACTGGAGTGGTGGCGGTATTGAAGTGCATGACTACGGTTTTGGTGTGTGTGTGTGTGTGTGTGTGTTTTGAGGGCGTACATATATGTGTTTGTGTATATTTGTACGTACGTTTGTGATTTAGTGTGTTAAAGTGTGTTTGTTAAGAGGAGGGAGAAAATTAGGCTCCACGAACCAAACAGAAGATACGAACGCTGTGTGGAGCACGGCGGGTGCCACGAAGCTCTGCCACGTCAACTGGACAAACGGCTACCACACTGCTGACGTCATGAACATGATTGCGTGAATGCATTTTTATTTACTTACTTACGTCATTAGAAATATTACAGCAAAGGAATTACCGTGTCAGGGTACCTCCAGATGATAGGCCTGCCTCTTTCAGTACCCTCAGATTTGTGAAAGTTCTTCTGCCTGCACCGCCAAATTAAAATATTTAAAGTGAACATGTAGCCCGCAGGAAGACTAGTGTGATATCTGAAGAGCTACACGCTATACAAGAATCTCTGGATGATCAGTAACAGACCAGCACAGTACCCATGCTTTCAACTGTGGGGCATCTGGGGGTTGGCCTGACCACTGTGGCTGCGTAGTGCAGACGGAAATGCAAACCCACAGATTTGACAATAAGTGCACTGATGGAATTACACTGGTACCTTTTAATAATGATAAACAGCTGATGTGGTATTACACACAAGCTTCCACCCTGGCACTTACCCATTTCCTAGGTTGCAGCTGGAGCAGGGAGGACAGCAAGCTCAAGGGACAACTGTAAGGAGACAAAATACGGGACCCCGATCCAGGATTTAAATGTGTTGTGTTCCAGACTCATCAAAACAGTAGGAAAATCTAGGTCATTCGCTTAAAAATTCCAGCCTCTCATAAAAATTCTCAGGTATTATGCTTACCACTACGTTAAAAGTCATTAATGTGCGATTCTTACCACGGCATATAAACCTACGTGTAGAAACAAAATATCATCAATAATACGTAAATTAGGTCATAGTGAAAACATTCAGAGAAGGAGAAACAAATGTCTGTTGGAGGTTTGGGAAAATAAATCTTCCATACATGTCAAATTGTCAAACATGTTTGGACCTGGTGATCTATAACACTGCCCTGCATAGTTTTTGAGGTTTGTGTATTATTAAGCTTTTCTGGGTGTATTTTGCACGCTGATCTCAAAAATGTTATCCATTTTGCTCAATCAGGTTAGAATTTTGTGCTATAGCATTTTAAGCGGAGATTCAGGTAAAATATTGGCATTTTTCGCTCAAAATGGGGTTCTCATATTCGTTCATTAAAAAAATCATCCGAGACATTGGCAAGCCTCACAGAAAAGATTTCGGTCAGTTTTAATGCCCTTACGATGCATTTAAATACACCCACGTGCTCGCCGGCCATTTAAATGTCCGCCGTGACGCAAAGGAAAAGAGTATATGTCCGTGCTTTTTTACATATGTTTTTTCACAATTAAATTTCTTTTTCATCTGGTGGTACATGGCATGTTTCCTCTGTCTGTGGGATAGTCGAGCAGACAAGCAGCACTACATGCAATGTGACTGGCCTGCAAGAAGTGGACTTACTCCAGGTTCTCACAATGTTGTTGCCCATGCTCTGGTGAATCCTCAGAACATTCTTCTTCCGCCACTGCACATCAAGCTCGGTCTGTTCAAAAACTTTGAAAAGGCACTGGACAAAAAAAGCCAGGCTTTCAATTTTCTGAAAGAAAAATTTCCAAAAGTCAGTGAGGCAAAGCTGAATGCAGGAATTTTTGATGGCCCTCAGATCAGAGAGCTTTTCAAAGATCCCAAGTTTGATTGCAGCATGGATGTAAATGAGAAGAAAGCCTGGCATGCCTTTAAGTCTATTGTCTCCAATTTTCTTGGCAACTACAGAAGTCCAGAGTATGAACGAGTTGTTGAGGACCTACTTCTGAGCTACAAAGTTCTTGGTGCACGCATGTCCATCAAGATGCACTTCCTCAGCTCCCACTTGGACTACTTTCCAGAGAACTGTGGTGATGTGAGTGAGGAACAAGGAGAACGCTTCCATCAAGATATCCGTGTAATGGAGGAGCGGTACCAGGGTCGCTGGGATATCAACATGCTCGCCGACTACTGTTGGTGTCTGAAACGGGACGCCCCAGACACCAACCACCAAAGAAATTCTCTGCGACAGCCATTTATGCATGTCTAACTGTAAAGGCATCTATGTAGTTGACATATTTTGGTCCTATGTGTTGTGGTTACATTTCTTATGATATATTTTGCATAAAAGTTTTGACATCATATTTAAGAATTTCGATTTTTTCCTAATTCCCATAGCATAAAAATCTGACCTGATTGGGCAAAATGAATGGCATTTTTGGAATTAGCACGCAAAATACATAAAGAATCAGCTAAGAAATCCCGCACCTCATGAATTTTTTTTTTCAAATGCAGCCCAGTGTAATGGCAGCCATACAGATGACCTGAGGAGGCTAGGATGACCAGGTATTAGTCCGCAGTTATCTTTGTTAGGAATATTTGGTTTTTGAGGGGAGGTAGAGTGAGGAATGTGTCACAGGCTAGGTAGAGTGAGGAATGTGTCACATCGAGGTAGAGTGAGGGGCACCTACTACAAAGTTGCTAAGCTTGTTCCACTCGTCCACCACCCTATTTGTGAACCAGTTCCTTCCTATCTCCCTCCTAAACCTAAACTTATCCAACTTAAATCCGTTGCTCCGAGTCCTATCCTGCTCGGATATTATAAGAACTTTATCTATGTCACCTTTATTGATTCCTTTCACCCACTTAAATACTTCTATCGTATCTCCCCGCACTGTTCGTCTGTCTAGGGACTGCAAGTCTAGAAAGGTGTTAACGATCCTGGTGTGAATCTCAAAACGAAATGAAAGACTGGAGAGAAATATGATGATGATGATGATGATGATGATGATGATGATAAGGAAGAGGGGGAGGAGGAGAAGGAGGAGGAGGAGGAACTAATGGTTGAAAACTAAAGAAGCAATGATTAACACCGCAATGACATATGACACTCTGGCACGGGGAGATAGATTAAGAGAGAATTGTAGTCAGTGGCTGAGTGATGGTGGGTGATGCTTTTCATATAACTGTAGTGTGGGTGTGTCTCACGGGTACAGCTACTGAAGTACTATATATCGAGTTGAAGTTCCTTGTCGTAACACCCACTTATAACAGTACATTTAAATAGCATACGAAAATATATTAGCGTTGTGTGTGTGTGTGGGTGTGTGTGTGTGTGGTGTTGAATGTAGAACAAATTTGCTAGTGGGGGAGCAAGGCTGAGAAAATCAAATCGAATTATATTTCTGCTGCATTTATTAACTCTTCATCATTTACATAGGCAGGTTAATACTGATAGAGACTGCGAGAAGAAATACAGATGGAAGTGATAAGCAAAGAAGATACAGAGTCGCTGAATTAATTCCTAGGAAGGTGTACATCAGGTTAATAAATCTAACTAATCTCGACGAGGGCGGCCAGAGCTCCGGTGAAGGCAGCGTTGTAGTCGCAGGCCACCTCGTTGTGCTGGTAGTCCTCGCGGTTGTCCTCGTACGCTCCGCTCTAGAGTAAGATAAAATACGGACAATTTTACGTATACGCTAGAAACACAGTAGAACAGTATTTAAAAAGAAGCAAAAAGTCGTGCCCTCGAGCACGGTGGATTGAATGGCCTCGCTTGGAGCTGAAGAGGGTCACAAATAAAACCAAAATAGTTAACCAACTGAAAGACTCGTTCACGAATGAAGAGGAGGATTAAAACAATTAGGCCAGATATTGTTATTTAACTTTGTGGAGATAATAAGTTATATTAATTGAAATAACACTGAGAAATGCTGAGAAAACTCGGAGGTTCATGAAACAGGATGAAAAGTCTCCCAGTACGGCGTACAGCTATCTGGGAAAATCCTGTACTGTACATATCTGCCAAACTCTTAAATCTTGTTTGATTTAACACAGTAAGTTACTGGTACTAACCTGGGCTGGTCCTCCGACGAGGGCACCGTAGAGGACGTGGGGGTTAGGACCGGGGTTGCCGAGGGCACCAGAGCAGTCTGCTGGAGGGTTCGGGCAGGAGCTGACGAATAGACGAATAGAAATTATACGTAAGCTTCTTACGTGTTTCTCGTGACTCATGTGATATAAATATTTAATGACTGTCAATATGAGAATAATTATTGTGTTATTAGTTTCTTAATTAACATTGCAAAAAATATTAAATTAAAAAAAATCCTGTTTTCTGTTTTAAGGAAGAAAGGCTTCTTTGAGTTCTTTGAAAAAATATGAAATCGAATGTTGAATACTTATTGTTAAAGGAAGATTACTCAATTAAAAGGCAGTTTTTAGCTATAATGTTAATTGCCATATGATTAACAACGTAGTTATTTAGTTTGCATTATATGATATTGTAATTTTTTTTAAACTGAGTCAGCGCACCTTGGAGTGATACCAACTCTCACACCGTTGGCACCTGAGAATAAAATTCCTCTTTGAATATACATAAGGGGACGCAAAAAATATTAATTAATTACAATAATGTCGAAGCTCCGAAGCAGATTAGTATATATAATATTAAACATAACAAAAAACAGATGTAGTACAATATTTTCTTAATATAAAAATGGATTATCACCAATTTTGCTCGATATTCTAGAGGAACAATTTAATGCCCAACAACAAACAACACTGTTTATCAAAGAACACCGCCACTTATACTGATTATCACTGACGTGAAAATTCTTTGAGTTGATAACTCTCCCTTTAGAATTACTTGAAATTGAAAATACCTTAAAATGTATACAATTCATTAACAGTTCTGCATGTGTCAACATTCACTAAATACAGAGATAGAAAAGTGGGATCAAAAAATGTTAATCTAAAGAGACCGCATGTTGAATATAGGCGAAAATGCTGGCGGTTTTTATTTAATTTACTTTTTTTATTTACTTATTTTTTTGTATTTTTTTTTTTTTTACCTGGAGCGGTGGTGGGGCCTCTCAGGGGGGTCCTCGCCGAAGCCCACCACGAACGACCTGTGGTAACGGGAGTTGGCGCCCAGCAGTTGACCAATCTGTTCCCTCGCCCACTTCTGGTTGGCTTCTGTGTCCATGCCGTTCTTGGCGGCCTGAAAGAGTCAAAATAAAATACTAAATTCAGTGACAATATATTTTTCTTACGTTACGTAGAGGACTGTATCGTCATGGAAAATTGTCATTCGTTTACTCACACGCTAGTTGAGGAGACAAAAAGTCAAAAGACCGATTGAGTGACTCGCATTTCCTACCACTTAAACCCTCATAAGAGATGATTCAATCATGAACTACAAATGAAAGATTACAGTAGATTGCTTGATGAGTAATTCAATGTCTCTAAGGTATTTTAACTCACATATAGAGAGATGAAAGCAACGTTAGCAGCATGACGGTTGGAGCCCCAGTCATCAAGGTAGACCAGACCCTCTGGAGTGTACAGAGCACCGTTCTTCAGCCAATCCAGATAGGTCTTCAGGGGGTCAGAATAGTCACTGGAGCCGTCCAGCGTCCAGAAGAGTGACTGTGGTGGTGAACGACTCATGATAGTAGATAAGAAGTTGAGTGTGGCCCGACAAGAACAATTACCTTACAAACCTCCACCTCACTCTATACCCAAGAAATAGTTTCAAATAACGCTACGTTTTCACAGATATTATTACTGTATTCATTTATATCACATAATCATTTTTCAATTACAAATTCTAAAATGACTGGGAGCACATACATGAATATATTTGCTAAGAAAAATGTCATGTATGAGTTAACTTCATATTATTCTCACTAAACCATTTAGAATTAACTTACAAAGACTCCAGGCCTCTTGTCGTCCCAAGAGAACTGTTTAACTTCTCCTGACCCAAGATCGAACTCGTCCCAGTGGCCACGGGCGCGGGTGAGGTATTCGTCGTCGCCTGTTGCTCGTGCCAGCCACAGAGCCGCCCAGCAAAGTTCGTCACCGTATCCACTCCACGAGCTGAGAGGAAATTTTACAGTCACTCAGGTGCTGAGATTAAGTGACGATAATGGCTACTGATACTCGTGATCCAGAGGGTGATACTGGCAATTCTTTCATTCTGCTAATAATTAATTTTGTTACCAAGCTGCTGGTGTTGTTAGGTCTCCATAGAGTAACAGAGATAACATACTGCCTTAAATTGATACCTGAGCTTTCCCTTTTGTTGTGGAGGATAAGCCAAATGACAGAAAAGCACTTGAAGGTATCCATATACCTCGCTTTTGAAAACCCATAAAGGAAGAGAATATGTCTCTGCAATGACATTCTGCTGTGTATGTTATTCAGATAGTGTATAAATAGCAAAGTGACAAACAAGGAAACAGCGGAATATTTTTAGTTCAGATATATTTGGACTAATGGAATGTGATGATGATTATTGAGTAAGTTAAGAGAGAATGTGGAAAGTCGTGTAATGGAGGGGGGGGGGGACTATGAGGGGTGAGTTTTTCGGAAGGTGCAAAACTGAGAAGTGAGTTTTTCGAGGACAGCGACGTATCTCTAGTTTTTATTCCAATAATTTATTCCGTCTGTGAAGGCTTAGTAACTGGAGGGAATACGAGGACGAGTAAACAAATAATAAAAGAAGGAATCTTTTCCGGGAATTTAAAGAATCTTGGAAGTTTAATCTTTTACATAATTATACTGTACGTGTACGAGATTTTAGTGTAAGATGAATAATTCACGCCAAGAAATACTAAAGTCGAAGGGTGACGCCCAAACGTTGACATGTGTTCACCATAGTACACGATCTATCACTAATGTTCATAACACGTAACACATGTTTACCACAGTACACATACTCGCCACAGTACACATGTTTACTACAGTGTATATATTTTTCAGAGTTGACGCATTCCCCACAGTACACATATTTACCAAAGTCTACACATTCACCAGAGTACACAAGGTCAACACGTACTGGTAGTAGCTGGTGGCGTCGGTGATGGATTTGTCGTAGGTGAGACGGAATTTGTCGCCGAAGTCGTAGAGTTCCTTGGCCACGTCTAACATCTCCGAAGAGTAGGTTGGGTTATCTTCCTGAGGAGGTGAGTAACGAAGGTAATGTAACTATCATATATATATATATATATATATACACTAGTGGTGTGTGTGTGTGTGTATGTTATTTTAATCCTCTTAAATGATGATTTTATTTATTATTATTATCATTATTATTATTATTATTATTATTATTATTATTATTATTATTATTATTATAGTTGTAGTAGTAGTAAGTGTAAAGCTGAATATTAAAGAAAACAGACACTTTCCATCAACTACAGTAAGAGAGAGGGTAGTGCCAAGCTATGGTGAGAATATCTGCGGTACAACGCTGAAGAGGAAAGGAAAGTAAACGATGAGAAAAGGAAACAGTAGGTACTGTACGTAAGTAGGTAGGGAAGTGGCTCGCAGGTCGTGAAAAGAGGTGACTCGTGTCATAAGACAATGGTAGTTCGCTGTGATGTGAAGGCAGGAGTGTTTCATTACACCTGGTGAGTAGGGGTAATAACAAGAACAGGAAACTATACAACGTGAACATGAGACACAACACATGACAACAGGAACATAAAAAACTACAGGTGGGTCTGCCAGAGCGTCAGGCACAGGCCTCATATGCAGTAGATGGAACAGAAAACTGGGACACTAGAAGCATCATTCTTTACCGAGAAAACCATGGATGCAGCGGCGAGGGCAGCTGCTGTCTCAGCAGCTAACTCAGTTCCTGCAGGGAGACACAAACTCCTCAGTTATGTTCATCATCTTAATACCAGACACACTTTTGACACTCTTGCCACTATGTTCATTATCACTTTCAGATGACATGTTATATTTTAAAGGTATAAAAGTGAAACTCGCAGGTCCCATAAAAGACCTTTTGGAGGCAGTCAATATCAAGACTATCTACAGTGTAGATAGCAATTGTAGATTCTCCACCAATACCCATCAGCGCCTCGACTTACTAACCTGGGTGAGCGTCATCAATCTTATAGGAAGGTCGCTTCATGGTCATGTCCTCAGGTCGTCCCCAGTAAGCGTGGTCTATTCCGCCATTACCCACCTGAAATAATCCATTAGTTTTTATTGTCCAGTTAAATGGATCGTGTTACATTTCGTCTATACTGTATTCTCTTAGGTTAAAAATTTACGACTACTTACATACTAACTTTTCCTTTTTCAAATATTTCGGAGTCTCACCAATTAGTTGTTTCGCAAGATTCGTACAAGATCTATCACAACCTCAGCTTACATTTATTTACTTGGCTTTCTGATTGACATATTATAAGTGTTCAAATGAGCGCTATATACCTCCAGTCTTTACCAACTCTCTCATCCCTTCCCATTTATTTCCATATATAGCGATTGCAAAGTGCCATCTTTCACTGAATATACAAAACAACTGACCTGGCCGTAGAATTCGTCTTTGGCAGTGTGAGCCTTGAGGAAGTAGTCGGTGGCCCACTTGAGCGCTGCCTTACCGTACTCCATCTGACCTGTGGAAGACACGCCAGGGTCAGCAGTCTCTCACAACACTATCCCTGGAGCACACTAGGCTGTCATTCTGCCATTGTTTTTAATATTCTTCCTCTCTACTAACTCGTTACAAAAGAAACTCAACATATTTATTAATTTTAAGTCTTGATTTGGAAAAAAACAAAAATATTCCATTGTCCATTTAATTGTTATTTTATATATGTTTTTTATTTCCTCGAGATAATACGTACACAGTTCGCCTTCGCTACTAACTACACTTTAATCATAGTATGGTAGGTCGGTCCTCACTACTACAAAGATTATTAGGATAAACATTTTGCTACTGGTAAAGGCACAATAAGACTCACCGGCAGTTTCGTGTCCGTCGGCGAAATCTATGAGGCCCCAAGCCAAGACGGTAGCGGTGTAGGCCATGGGAAATCCGAACTTGACGTGGTCACCAGCTGTACCAGGAGAAAAGCCAATTATAAGAAACTATTTAACTATTTATAGGACATGCTCCAGAATATTTCAATTTTAATCTCTCTCTCTCTCTCTCTCTCTCTCTCTCTCTCTCTCTCTCCTTACCGTCGTAGTAGCCGCCAGTAAGGTCTTCGCCATTGTCGGAGCCGTCGTCCAGAGCAGAGTCGCCTCGCCAAGTGACGCGCTGATCTACAGGCAGAGGACCTGACCGCTGGGCCTCGTAGAACACGTACGACATACACAGTACCTGAGGGTGAAAGTTGAGAGACTTGGGGTGAGAAGGAAAGAGGGAGAGTTAAGGGAGTTGGCGTGAGAAAAAAGGGGCGAGAAATGAGGCGAAAAGTGAAGTAAAAGTGACAGGAATAAGTAAAGGGGCAAGAAGAGGAACACAAAGAGTAAAGAACGAGGAAAAGTAAATAAACGGTGCTGTAAGATAAAAATAATTCTGGATTCTTTCCAAATAAATGTAGAGAACGTTCTCGAAATTCAAAAGCAAAAAACAACTGCCATACGAGATCTGTTTATCACCATGAGATTTTGTTATCACAGTTTTCTTTTGTTTGTAAAATTATGAGATGGTGGGACACTGACCTGGCTGTAGTCAAAGGGCTTCATACCCGTTTCATCACAAGGGTTCCCCATGGGTGCGGGTGTTGTGAAAGACGCATCTGTGGGTAACAGGGAAGAGGCGGGTATTATTACGTCAATTTTCCCGTCCATAATCACTCGTGCATTATAGAACTGTTTTTTATTTAGTCTTTTTATTCTACATCTTACCGTACATACCCATGATGTTAGCAGGTTTTTCCTTCTATGAGAGCTAGTTACTACACTTTCCCCTGGGCTGTGTAAACACGTGTAGGAGGACAGTGCACATGAGGCAATACTTACCGCATATCTCCATACCGTTCAGCACTTCATTGATGACGAGAGGCATCACACCGGAGTAGTGCACCTGGATGGTTAATTTGATCTCGTCTCCTGCTTTCACATTGACGTTGTTGCCGTTGAGCGTGAAGTGCTCGTCGTCTTCCTTGGTCACCTGCCCCTCGTAGTACTGTCGACAACAAACATCACGCCATAATTATTGTGTGACATTAAATCATGGCAGCAATATTTTTCAAGTGGACCGGTTGTTTTACACTCTAAATAATTTGTGCCATCTATCACATAAAGAAAAATTATACAAATATGACGACTACTTAAATTTAAACAGCTGTACTTGGTGTCGTCTACAGAAGGCCCTGACCAAACCCCAGAGCCCCCCTCCCCACCCCCCTCCTCTATACATACCTACAAATCTAGAGAAATAATTCAACAAAGTCTTGGTGTGTAAACGATACATTTGGTTATTTAAAAAAGGTATACAGTAGCCGTATAACAGAAACACATTAACGGTGAACGAATAGTGAAGCTAGAATACAAAACTTGTGTATTTCTTGGTAATTTTTTTTAATTACAATGTTAAAATCATCTTCCATAATAATAGTAACAGAATTCATTTTAGAATTAAGAGTAAGAACGACTGATGGAACGAGAATTTGGTAATATAAAACTCAAGAATTCATAAAGTAAAAAATAAAGCTACTAAAGATTCATTGAGTATGTAATAATATCCTCACACTTACAAGAGCTGATTTACTTAGAACAGAGGGTAAACACTGCACTAATTAGCAATTTTGATGCGTTATAAACTAAAAATACGTTTATATAACCTTTTCTCACAAGACGTTTTCACTAATCTTCCAACACACACACACACACACACACATGGTAGAGTTCGTTTATCCCGGTCGCTCTAACATGCGTTGCACTCCATGTTTGAATTTAAGCAATGTGTTAGATTTACCAAGTCATTGCTTGAAGAAACATACATTAAATCCATCTACTAAGGTTAGTCACACACAGACTGTTTTAGATGTTCTCAGATAATCACACAGCAACACACGCAGACTGAGAGTAATTAACGTGTATATCAGTAACAACCTAAGACATGATGACTTACATCGACTAGATCCACAGGAGTGCTGAAGGTCAGCTTCAGAGTGAGACCGTTAATGTCTACGGGAGCCTTGGCAGTAAACTCGGCCTGGTAGTTGCCCTGCCACTTGTTGACCACCACCATGTTCTCACACTGCGCCTCCGCCCCTGCATCACCAAGGTACATACACCTTAGATCAGACGTACTCATACCGCATTAATCAGGCAAAAGGACAATAGTTTGTCATAAGTCTTTATTTGTAAACCATAAGAATTGATAATCAATTTCAAATTATTGCTTTCGTTTTGGAGTACTGTTTTTTGCATTGTTTTATCCATTTCTTAAGCGTGTATAAGTAGTTTGTTTTGAGTTGCTTGTACATGTAAATACCTGACTGGAGGAGGGTGAGGGCTAGAGCCCCCAGCAGGCAAGTCTTCACCAGGACGCCAGTCATGTCTGCAGCAGAAGAGACTGTGGTGTGGGAGGAAGGTGCCCGCCCTATTATATACACACACACACCTGGTGGTTACGTGACCTCTCTTATCTAACGTCACACCTGATTCACTCTTCTTTTTCCCAAGTAAATTACGTGCGTCATATAAAGTATATATATATTTTCTATGACGCACGTAACCTACAGGCAACCTGTACAATACCTATGGAAATTTTCCGTTTCACGTTATGTATGGGTTAGGTTATTCAGTTAATACATGTGAAAATTTATTAAACTTCCACTGAACCTAACATCACCTCACCTAAACTATGAACAACATACACAACACGAAAGAATAATACAAGGAGACTTCAATTAGGGTTTCCTGTTTTAGGGGTTTCTTAGCATCCAGGGATCCTGGGACAAACCAGGATATTTCCCTGGATCCCGGGATTTCCCGCATCAGGTGATATTTGTACTAACTAATACTATATGCTAACCCTATACTTCATTAGTGTAGTATCTGTAGATTATTTGATAGGCAATTGATTTGATAAATCATATTACACTGAAGCAAAGTTCTCTTTATTAACTTGCATATTGGTGTAAAAATAGGTACATAATATGATTAAACAAGCAAAATTTTAATTAATATCATTCCGTTAGCCATAAAAGAAACTCACAGACATTTGGAATGGCATTCAAAGTTAGCTATTATAAAAAATAAGAATTCTATATTTAATGCCATTTGGAAGCCACATTCTACAAAAACCTAAAGTGAACACTTGAATGACCTGTGAAAAAAATAATACTGTAGCATAAAATCATTTGTGCACACGAGCCACACAGTCACGCACACATCAAAAGTTGTTCATGAAATAACTCTTCAAGAAGCGCAAACAGTCAATCTTATTCTGTTAGCAGCAAAAGAAACTCAGTGATATTTGGAATGACATTCAAAGTTAGCCATTATAAAATAAAAAATATTCTATGCCATTTGGAAGCCCTATTCTACAAAAAAAATTAAAGAGAACACTTGAATGACCCGCGAAAAAAAAGGAATAGAATCATTTACACACACATAGCCATGCACAAACTAATAGTTGTTCATGAAATAACTCCTCAAGAAGCACAAACAGTCAATACTGCGGTCAGTGAGCCTTGTTCTTAGTTTTGTAATAAATAGGCCAGCAGCTGAAAATGCCCTTTCGGTTTCAACTGAAGTTGGTGGTACTGAGATGAGGGCCTGGAATAGTTTCTCTAAATTATGTGTTCTCTCTCCTGTTGCCTCAAACACATCGAACTCTTTCCTAATATGTTTGCATTCATACACCTTTCTACTTTTACTCTGAACCTGTTCTATTGCTGCCTTGAGTTTAACTGTGAGTGTCATTTGTTCTTCTACACACATTTCTTTATTATCCTTAGCTGGTGGCTGCCAATGCGTTTTTGTATTTTACATGGTGCAAATCAGAGATAAGGAGTAACAATAAGAATCCCGGGATTTGAACCAAATTCCAAGGAAAAAAAAACATAACCACTTACACCCGGGATCCCGAGATCCCGGGAAGGAAACCCTAACTTCAATAGTCTGTACAAAAAATATAAGCAAATCTTAAATACATGTACAGTAATTAGTAATAACCGAGTCAATATCTATCAGGCAGGAGTCACTCTTATTGGCTTTAGTGACGACTTCATCACCTACTGCAGCAGAAAAAAATGTCAGGTTAAAGATAGGACAACATAAGGTAATCCAAATACTGTTATTGAGGAATTAATAAATTAATACAGAATAACTTCAAAATATTGATCGGTTTATCATTCTTATTGTATCAAAAGTTCTGGGGTGTGAGAGAGAGCAGTGGATGTTCAGGTGGAAGGAGATCCTCGTGTTTATAATATGCTGTAGTTACCAGTCAGATTTTAGGGACTCCCACTCAACTGATACGAACTTGTTACTGTATCTTTATCCCCTCAGTACACTATGATTCAATTTATCACCCATCGTAACAGACACTGGCTCATCCACTACAAAATTCACTTTCTCTCCTCTCTGTCTCCATTAAGTCTAGCATTTATTTTTGCATATCTTCCTTCTCTACTTAGTTTCATCCTTTTATTTACATTAATGTTTATTAACTTATTATTAACACCGTCCCAACTTTGTTTTAATAAAATTTACTATTCTTTTTAATCTAGGTCGCTGTTTACACTTAATACCTATTTCTCAGTTTTACATATATTCAGTACCTACATAAGACTCTCCTTACCTCCCTTGGATTTTATACATTCCCTTCATGTGAACACAGGAGTCTCCTATCATGGAGTGACAGGATCAGCAGGTGATAGTGTGACGTAAGGGATATGATGCCAGGGATTGACATTGTGGCTTTGGAGAAAAACTTACATATGCGGCAAAAAACAGCATCAGCAGTATCGGCTCTTCTTAGACACCCTACAGTACATCCACACGCACGCTCATAGCATAGGACCCCAACCACTAAGGAGGCCCCTAGTCCCGACCGTTATAATAATAATAATAATAATAATGATAAACGGTTTATTAATAGAGTTGCAGCCGGTGGCTGAAAATATACAGACTTACATTTGATTTAGACATAATGATATAATATGCATTGAATACATTTACAGGGCTGTACAGTACATAAATCAGGAGTTGTTTATTATTTTAACAATAGATGGGATGGTGCTGTTCTTATATCTATCGGTGCGGGCTCTTATGGGCTGAATTTTGTTGTAGTGGCGGACTGCGCGAGTTGGTTGGGGGGCTGCAGGTGGCAGGAGGTGGCGATGACGAGGGTGGTGCAGTAGTCCACTGCCAAACCTTTCCAGTGCTTGGTGGTGGAGGTCACTGAGGGATGGCATTTCCAGGGTGGAGAGAGCGTTGGTGTAGTCGGAGTATTCTGCGCCGAGCATGATTCTGCAGGCCCTTTTCTGTTCCTTCTCTAGCTGACGCAGCAGCGCCTCAGGATATTCTGTACGTTGTAATGTTTGGCCACTCTCCCGGGCCGCGTTCATTTTAATAAAATGGCGTTTAATAACCAGAGAAATTAATTAATAATAATTCACGATAATTTGGGTGAAAAAAGCGATTATTTTATTTTCAGAAAGGTCCCCAAATTTTATTACAGCGCCACCTGTAACTGATTGAGTGTACTACTCAGAAAGAACGTATAATAGAACGTATTGGGTAAACTAAAAAAATATATATAAGGGTTGATGACCTGCGGTGGTAAGGAAACACAGAATGCAGCAGGAGTTTCTCTTACGTTTCTGCGTTGTGCCTTTCTCTGAGAGAATAATACAAAACAACTAATTATATAACTGAAAGGCAAGTGACAAAGGTGAAGGAGGTTCAGTGGAAGGGTAAAGAGTGGATGGAAGGGAGTTGTAGCACTTCAGGTAAGTTAGCGGTAGAGATGTTTAAAGAAGGGTGAAGGTCCAAAGATTAGAACGGCTGCAACTGCCTAGCTTATACTATAGAAGGACAACAAGGGGTGATTTAATTGAAGTTTATAAACATCTCAGAAGGCACTCCTCAGTTGAGTGTCCATACCTGGAGCTGGTGCACGCCCGCCCCACAAGGGATCACAGCTCAAGGCTGATGAAGCCAATAGGCCAGAAATTTGAGGGCAAACTTTTTCGGAGTGAGAATTGAATATTCTTGGAACAATCTGCCGGACAGTGTTGTAACGGCAAGAGCTTGAGCTCTTTCAAGACCTTACTGGACTATCACTGACGCAGGCACAGATACATTCAGGAGCCAGTACATGCCCAGTACTTGCCAACAGTGGGTAACAGAGACGTGACCAACCGCCCAAGCGGCTAACGAGCCGATCAGTGTCGAAGAGGATAAAAGTAAAATGTAAAATCTAAAGTCTTTGAGGCGACGCCACCCTCTTCCCTGCGCTGACCATCAGTGACCCGGCGAGTTTGGCACAGCGCCTACAATTTTAAATTACTGTGTAGCGTTGTTCTTCTTTGCAGACAGCAATTATGCATTCTATTGTCGCTGCTGTCGCGGTCAGAAACATACAAAGTAAACAGTGCTGACGACATACCTACGTCACAATGGCGACAGTGTCGCCATCCCATTTTGAGGAAACCAACTATAATAAATACCAAATGTCGCCAACTGCGCCGCGCCAAACGCTTCGAGTATTAGATATTTTTTCTTCGCACCGGTGTTGCCAAACCCGCGGTTTACCCGCCCAATTGGGCTAATTTTAAACTGCTTGCAGCGGACGATAAAATTGTGCCGCTACTTGCCTACCTTTGAAAACGGAAACACCGGCACCACTAATTTCCCAGCAGTATTTATGAATGAATATTGATTTTTTTCTGGATTGGTAGTAAAGGAAAGCACATGACTTTGCTATTTTTTCCTCTTCATTTATCGGCTCACAATCATCGGATAATTTTAAATTTTAAATGAAATAAGATCTATAGCAGCTGGTCAGACAGACAGGCACCAGGCAGGGCGCGGAAGTTGACGGATGGTCAATCTGTCGGCTTCCTGTTTGATTAAAAGGGGATATGTTTCCATTCCATTTTTTTTTATTTAGTGACTATTTAGTGCATAAGTGCCTGAAAAAGAAAAAAAATATATTTACTATTTTCAAGAAACAAACTGGTAAAAATGAGGCTCTGATTTATTTTATGCGGTGTTTTTATCCGGCAATCTGGTAAAAAAGGCAATTTCATTTCCTTCAGTAATTTTATAAGAAAAATAGTGTTACTTTATCATATGGAAAGATAAGTCAGCGTTCATTCTCTGTATTGCGTTTTTTCTCTTACTAAACCCTGTTACTAGTCCACAGAATTAAATTTAAATTCCCTACAATGACGATAATATTTTGTATTAACTGAAATAGGAGCGTGAAGCGGCAGGCTATAAAAGTCATAATTTTGGGGCTATATTGTTTAAGGTCTTTGCCGCACCTTTTGAGTGCTATCCACCGCGGTTTGGTAACACAATGTTTTGGTACCCCTGCAAAACTGCCCTCAAAGCCTCAGGCTCAGTGAGTCAGTGCGAAGT